AATTAATTATAGTACATTCAGCCCAGTATCGTGATATCAGCCCACCACCGAAAATCAATCTGCCGGCACGAGGCTGCTGTCCGATCGCGCGGTGCATAGCAGCCCCCTCATGGGTGCCCATGTTTTCTTTTCGCCGAGCACAAGTGTTTAATTAAGAGGAAAGAGGTGGAGAAACTGCGTACAAGGTTCCTTGAATTAGATCGGTTGCGCAAGACGCATACCGACGCTAGCTCAGGGGAACCCGACTTTTAACATTGGGTGCCCATGTTTTCCAGATGAAGAAGGTATATATGCTGCAATTTCAGACGCACGCTACCTGCTAGAAGCCCCCTGATTTCTCTCACCCATTCGTTGCCTGTTGTTCTTGAGCGCTTTACCCAGCAATTGCTTCTTGATCGTCTTCCTTCCGTGATACCGTGGCGCTCAGGGATGGGTGCAGAATTGCAGATAGATAATAGATTGCCCATGATCCTTGAAGCAAGTTCTCGGTCAATCTCTGCCCGTTCCCAACTTGTATATACAATAACTGAAGCTCTGAGAAAAGCCTGAACTTGTTGCTAGAACTGGGATCTGGGATCGATCATCCATCAGCATATATTGTGAGAACCTTGTTGCTAGCGAATTTGTTTTTTTATAGGAAAACAAAATTTTATTCTGCTCTCTAAAAGAGTTTCATTCGCAACCAATCCTAATATAGTTTCGGCCTCCCACAGTTTTTAAGAAAAGCTCTCGGAAAGATAAATCAATTAATCAAAGGAGCAATTGCTTAACAACTAATAAGCCCATTAAAAGACTATCCATGCTCGGCAAAGATCAACATATCCACGGTCCCTAGAATGTGACAAGCCCACTTCAAAAGTGATATGTTGCTATCCTTTTCCAAAATGTTCTAGAAATGTGTCCAGTAGATTGCCTAAAAATAAGCTGCAAATAAGAGTATAACATTTGTATCATCAGGTCTCATCATTTCTATAGAGCCAAATAAAACAAAAACTAGCACTTCTCCCACATAAGTTCGAGATCTTATAAGTCGAGCTACTTATTGGAACCACACACCAAACAAATCACCTACGTCTTACGAGTCTGCAGACCAAATACCATTCTAAACACTGTTGAAACGAATCATGCAACATGACAATCAAAGAAAAAGTGTTGGATAGTTTCCTTATTGTCACAAAAATATCGGCCATCTTCTTTCCAATGTATTTCTTAATTGCCTTTCATTAAAATTACCACTTTTAACTATGGATGAAAACGGTACGGATATTTATTCGACCGTCCGTTCGACCGAACAAATATGAACACTTATCTGGATAGTTACTCGGATATCCGTTTTTTTTTTCGGATACGGATACTAAAACGGATATCTTAGGTGGATATCAAATACGGATGTAATATCATCGATATCCGGCGGATATCGGATAATCCGGATAATTATCGGATATATCCGGATATTTAAAAACGGATATTATCCGGATATTTATTCAAAATTTAAAAATCACAAATTTGAACCATCCAAACTATCTCAAATGAAAAGTTGACCAAAACAACAATTGTAGATCTTGATGAGTTGAACAAACTTGGTATTCAAAACTTTTCAATTTGAAGTCATTTAGAGTTCATAATACTAGAGTCAAAGTGTTGTTTTTTCATTTGACCAAATTTGACTTGGTCAAACTTGCTCAAATGAGACACTAAATGACCTCAGATGAAAAAACTCTGAATACCAAGTTTGATCATCTCAGCAAGATCTACGATTGTTACATAGCTCATTTTCCCATTTGAGAAAGTTTTATCAAACACTAGTCATAAATTCATGAATCTCATATAGACTTTCTGAAACTATGTCACACACTTGTGAAATTTGAACTATATTTTGTTCAAACTTTCTCAAATGAAAAATGGCCTATATAAGGATTGTATATCTTGATGAGATGAACAAATTTGGTATTCAAAACTTTTCAATTTGAGACAATCTAGGGTTCCGAAAACTAGTTTGTAAGCATCGAAATTTAAAAATCACAAATTTGAACCGTCCAAACTATCTCAAATGGAAAGTTGACCAAAACAAAAATTGTAGATCTTGATGAGTTGAACAAACTTGGTATTCAAAACTTTTCAATTTGAAGTCATTTAGAGTTCATAATACTAGAGTCAAAGTGTTGTTTTTTCATTTGACCAAATTTGACTTGGTCAAACTTGCTCAAATGAGACACTAAATGACCTCAGATGAAAAAACTCTGAATACCAAGTTTGATCATCTCAGCAAGATATACAATTGTTACATAGCTCATTTTCCCATTTGAGAAAGTTTTATCAAACACTAGTCACAAATTCTTGAATCTCATATAGACTTTCTGAAACTATGTCACACACTTGTGAAATTTGAACTACATTTTGTTTAAACTTTCTCAAATGAAAAAATAGCCTATATAAGGATTGTAGATCTTGATGAGCTGAACAAACTTGGTATTCAAAACTTTTCAATTTGAGACAATCTAGGGTTCCGAAAACTAGTTTGTAAGCATCGAAATTTAAAAATCACAAATTTGAACCATCCAAACTATCTCAAATGGAAAGTTGACCAAAACAACAATTGTAGATCTTGATGAGTTGAACAAACTTGGTATTCAAAACTTTTCAATTTGAAGTCATTTAGAGTTTATAATACTAGAGTCAAAGTGTTGTTTTTTCATTTGACCAAATTTGACTTGGTCAAACTTGCTCAAATGAGACACTAAATGACCTCAGATGAAAAAACTCTGAATACCAAGTTTGATCATTTCAGCAAGATATACAATTGTTACATAGCTCATTTTCCCATTTGAGAAAGTTTTATCAAACACTAGTCACAAATTCTTAAATCTCATACAGACTTTCTAAAACTATGTCACACACTTGTGAAATTTGACTACATTTTGTTCAAAATTTCTCAAAATGAAAAAAATGGCCTATATAAGGATTGTAGATCTTGAATCCATGACCATGACTCCATGAGACCCATGAAGCAATGTGCTTGGCTATTTCTACTCATGCCGCGAAGATTGGTGCTTATATGATGTATGATGTATGATGTATCTGTATCTTTATCTTATTTGTTGCTTTACTCTTTAATCTTTCGGCTTAATCTAGATGGATTATGGACTCATAGAGTGGTGTAATGGTTTGTGCACGTATGATATATATATATATATATGCTGCTTTTACTCAATATCCGAATAGATATTTGTATCCGACCTTCTCCGAATCCGATTCATACCGTATTCGATACTCATTATTCGTATCCGTAACCGAGTCAATCCGTATTCGTATATGTATCCGAATGCTATCCGTGTCCGAATCCGAATCCGAACAGAAATATGAAAACAAATATAATATGAGTGATATCCGTTCGTATCCGATCCGTTTTCATTTCCTACTTTTAACATGGTCAATTTCAACTTCCGCAACGACGTGTTTAAAGCCAAAGCTTTGTTGGTTTGCTAAATAGTTTATACATTGGTTTGCTAAATAGTTTATACAGATCATGTAGCATGGCAAAGATGAGCTAGGTGTGTGTTGGGGATTTAACTTCGAGTAATGCAGTCCCCGAAGACGGTTAACAAGTTTGTAACTAATGCATTTACAAAGTTGGGAATTGTCCTTGTTGCGCAGGAGGGACTTCGCGTATGTATATAAGAACCTTCGGAGGTACTCAACGAAGTCCAAATAATGAAGCCGAAGGTGAAAAGACGAAGTCAAAGACGGAGGACCGAAGGCGATCAACCTACTTTGCATTCAAGTGAAGCCAAGGGTGAATGGAACGAAGCCAACTTGGTTTGAGCCCGCGAAGTCTTCTCCCGAAGACTCGGCTCAACGAAGTTAGATGAATGAAGTGGAAATATAGTTTTGACTATGAAATGACCAGATTGCCCTTCTGAATATAGAAGCAATGGTTTAGATATGATAGTTGATCTAAGGGTAAAAAGGGGATTGTAATAGGATTATCCAAGGTTCCACCTCTATAAATACCTCCCGACATGGACTTCTTTCCGGACATGAAGTTTTCATCCAGTTGAGTTAAATCCACTCAGTGATGCTTGTGTGATTATTTCACCAACAGTGCGAAGTTTCAAATTTCTCACTGCTGAGTAGGTCTTGTCCAACAGCTCCCTGACTTGAGCATCCACAACATCTGCGACTGCCATTACGTAGTCCTCTCTGGCTCGACATCTGCGAGAACACAACGTGAGAAATCTGTCAAAATATTACTCCCACCATTAGTAAGAAGGTGTGGGACTTTTTTTTTTGAGCAAGTGAGAGACATTTATTTAAACCGGATCTTTCCGCCTACAGAGCCCATTCACGCTAAGGCCATGTTTAGTTGCCCCGAATCGGCGCCGCAAAAAATGCTGTAGCTACACTGTAACGCACTATAGCATTTCGTTTGTATTTGGTAATAATTGTCCAATCGTTGACTAATTAGGCTCAAAACGTTCGTCTCGCAAAGTACAACCAAACTGTGCAATTAGTTTTTGATTTCGTCAACATTTAGTACTCCATGTATGTACCGCAAGTTTGATGTGACGGAGAATCTTCTTTTTGCATAGTGCCAAAGTTTGAATTTTAGGATAAACTAAACATGGCCTAATTGTTCTGAAACGAATTGCACAAGTAGTACGGATGGCCCACCGTCTTCCACGAGCCCACAAAATAAGCCCTCCACTGCACTCTCTGTCTAGCAGGCTGGGCTTAGCGGCAGGTACTGCCACACCTATCCCGGTCCGGTCCGGCCCGGGCCGTTGGGCAGTCAAGGTCAACAACACCCGACGCCTACGCTACGCGCTGTGAGATGAGACGGGAGAGCACGGGTCAACACGCTACGCCTACGGACTCGATGAACCTTTGATCATTTCGTTTGCGGTCGCTCTGCAGATTATTGATCGAATCTGTCCGGCTGCGTGCGCGTCCAGCTTCAAATCCACGCAGAGACAGAGAGATTTCAAGCAGCCGGGACTGGGATGGCGGCGATCTGGCGAAGAGCATGGAGGTCCAAGAAGGTTTCATCCACCGGGCGTGGCGACGGCGACGGCGCTCTGCAGCCGATTCTTGGCAGCAGCAGCATCAGCACCACCACCACTTCAGGTACCCGTAGTACCACCATGACCCTCTCCACCTCCGCGTACACCACCTCATCCGAACCAGTCAGAGACGAGGAGGAAGAGAGTGCCATGGAGCTCAGGCAGGAGGAGATTGTGAAGACGCGCCGGCACATGAGGGGCCTGGTGGAGGAATTCCGTGCTGGTGTCGATGGCAACTTCACTGCCCCGGACAGGTGGCTCTCGGAGCTGCACGTCGCCTGGCTTCTCCGTCCTGCTGATGCTGAGCCTGAGCTTGGTGCGTCTGGGCAGAGGATATTGGTCCTGCGGGAGATGCAGAGTTGGATCCTGGCTCTGCAGGTGATCCGCACATCCGTATCGAGATGCTTGAGTGGACTTTACAGCGACGATGAAGCAACCGTTGGGCCACCGGCTGCAGTTTCTCAATTTGTAAAATTTCTCAAGGTAACTTTGCTGAAGATGCTCACCTTTGTTGACGCGATTGTTGCTCTTGATCCATTGAATGTTGATGGTGCCAGCAGCCAACAGCATGTTTCTTCTAGCAGTGTGGTACTGGTGGTGATGGAGGCAGCTGAGAAGGTCCGGGCACTGCTAGATGTGCGCCATACTCTGTCCGCGGCCTCAGAACAGATCATGATGGCTTTCTGTTCCTCGCCCTACGTGCAGTCCACAAAGGTAGCTGACGATATCGGAGGCCTCTTGTCAGCACAGCTGTGTAAGCTGGATCATGCCATACGGGACACATTTGATCACATCAGAACTGCTGTCACTCCGTCATTGGACGACGACGACTCCCCAAGGGCAACGAGTGCTACTCAGACGACTCTGCTGCAGTCATCACCCGCTATCCACAAGGTCACTCGGTCTGTCATAAACTATATCAATATTGTGTTGTCTACTGAAGCATTGCTCCCCGCGAATTATGCAAGTCATCAGGGAGATACGTATTCTTTGACTACCCTGACAATGGAGGTAGTCGGTTCCCTAGAGGAAGAGCTTGCCAGAGTGTCGCAGTCGTTCACGGACCAGAGCCTCAGGTTCATCTTCTTGATCAACAACTCCTACCTTATACGGCAGCTGCTAGACACAAGTTGGCCTCCCCATCTCCATGACCTCACGTACCTAAGGTTTTTGAACAGCCTCACAAACAGAATCGACAGATACATACAGAGTTATCTCCAAGTGACTTGGGCACCGGTGTTGGAATGCCTGCACAATCCCACGTCTCGTTGCTTCACGAGAGACTCACCGCTGCCAAAGTTCGAGTCCAAGTTTCAGTCGACCTACGCTGCGCAAAAGCTCTGGAAAGTCCCGGACCCTGAGCTGAGGAAAAGGCTGCGTGAAGTCATCATCAAGAAAGTCGTTACAGGCTTTAAGGAATACTTGGAGGATCACAACAGCATCACCCCAGGAGTCACTCCTCAGGAGCTGAAGGAGATCCTGCAGGAGCTATTCGAAGGATGAACAGAACAAGTGTACCATGGAAAGACAAAGTTGCCAGCTACTTCTGTTTTCATGCATCTTTGATTTTGTGTTTTGGGTTTGGAATAAAACATTGTTGCTTGGAAATTTTTATCATGTTTGTACCCTCAACAGATGTTTTTTTTTTGAGGGAACGGGAGGGGTTTTGAGCCCCTACTGGAATTTATTGACAAATTAAAAGCGTCTAGTTACAATCAAGAAACAAAGAAAGTTGAAAAGAAAATCATAAAAATTACACAAATGTTTCTAGCCATAAGTCTATCTGAGGATGATACTTCGCTTTTGTACCCTCAACAGATGTCAGTATATATGTACTAGAGATTGAATTTGTAGCCTCCACAACACAGGTGTCGATCTGATAGCGATTTACATATGCCTTATAGCATTGTTGATTTACATATTAGTTCTTAAAAGTAAGATCAGATTAGGATGTTGTAATCAGTAATCAACTTTAGCACCTTGTAGCATTATTACTAGAACCAGCAAGAAATGAGGCTACTGGTTCAAGGAAAAATTGGGTACTAACTTAACATCACATGACCACAAAGCATATAAAGAAATATAATCTGAGGAATTCGCTGAGAGTACTCACGTTAGGAACAAACAAGGGAGACTAAAAGCTGTTGAGAAGGCAGAGCAAGCAGTTGCCGCTGTTTGTGCCGTGGTCTCTCCCAACAAGGAAGACGGAGATGCAGTGCTGCTTGGGCACGCACGACGTAGCACACTCCACACCACGCTCATTCAGTCATGCAGCAGCTGGCTCATACTACACCTCCACGTCACGAACCTTGACTACCAATCACTATTACAAGAGTAACTGATACAATATTTGGAGAATCAGAGGGAGTTTAGACAGCGAATAGCAAGGAATCGGAGGTAGAGAGCAAGAACAGCAAGGGGGGTCTCGGACGAGGACAGAGGAAGAAGACGACGGGTTCAGGACTACAGGTTCTGTTCGATGCGTTCCTGAGCGTAGCTTCCTGTCCTTTGTACTCTGGCCCTTCCGGTAGATGGGCCGAGGCCTGCTCCTAGGCCCACCGAGCCCGGTACATGACATTCCCCTCCGCTTGAAAAGCGGCTTGCCCTCAAGCCGCTGTTCGGGATGTCATCTAAATTCTCATGATCTGTTATACCTTGGCAAACACTACTGTTGAGTAGCTCCACATTTACTTGCATCACTTCAGCAACACCTTCTGTAGCTGTTGCCCAGCGGTAACTTCTATATTTGTTCAGCACTATTATCACCAGCGGCTAGGAGCTTGTCTTGACTGAATTTCTGAACATCCTGAAGCATCAGCATTACTGAATGCTCTGAAACATTACTCTTGCACATATGGCTTCCTGCAAGTGACGACATTGCATGCTGCTGCTTCTAAGGTATTGAATCCGCATTTGATTGGTAGGTGGCCTAAGTGCAAGGTTGATCCCTTGATCGAATAACCTTGGTTTGGCTATCAAGGCGTGCAACCTGAAGCATCAAAGTAGCAGACTTGCCTCTCTTTTGCTGCTGGGACCACAGTAGCAGAATTCCCTCTCTTTTGTAACTCCAACATGTAACTAACTGATAGGAAACGCTTCCTGATCCTCCCCTCAAAATGATGTTACAGAAAATGCAGACATGGAGCATTGCGGTGCTGAATGGAATGCATTTGAGTTTCAGTTCCTCTACTGGTCTCCACTGATGGATAATGTTGAGTGAACACTTCCCAGGACTGAAACCATTTTTATCCCATGGTGACGAGTGGTCAAAATGTTGTTGTTGAACACCAAGGTTTAACTGCCACCATTGATTTCGAGCCACTTGAACCTCTTCATCAATCTCACAAGAGATATCATGTGGCCAACTGCAAGAATGCGTGAATAGCCAAAAATTTCCAATAGTCCACGGCACACAGCATGGTGACAAAACACTGAATGACTGCTGCTCTCTAATATCCAGAAGCATACTCACTGGCCAAGCAAGCATATAACAAACACACAGCTGCAGCACTCCTACTTTGCTTTTAGGTGGTGGCCAAGGAATCAGGTCTGATGCAACAACAAGCCATAGATGTTGAAACATTTCCTGGGTTGGTGTCCACAGTTCACTCAAAATCACAGGATAGGCGCTCTCCATGCATTTCCCTCGGTCGAACACCTGCCATCCTACTGTTTCCATTAAGACGACCCATACTGAAAGCTGAGACCTCCTGTCATATGCAAGACAACAGCACAGAGGTGGTAGCCATAGTAACATCAAGGTCTCAAACTCAATAATTCTGAGATCAAGGAGTATCTGCATTGACCAAGAACGGTGGTGGACTCTGCTGCCAATCACTTTCCCATAAATCGCTGGCCTTCTATCCTTGATGTGCACTCTCAGTCGGCAATACAGAAATGACTCAGCTGACTTGATGTGCCACGCGAGCTCCCCTGGACCGTTCGATACTTGTATATGTGGCCAATGGAAAATGACAGACTTGGTGATGCTGCTGTTAGTGTTGATCTCTCCGGCTCGGCCCAACGGCCGAGTTGGGCCTTGACCTCACGCCTTGATCGAGGGCGCCCAACCCTACATAGTTGGTGGGCCCCCATCGCACTACGCTATAAAGAGAGGTGGAGGCCGCCGGCTCTCAATACGAGATTCACCGTGAGCCGCCACACCCACCGACAAACCCAATCTGATCTAGTGAGGGGCGCAGCTAGCGACAGGAAGCTCTACTGCCGTCTTCACCGTCGCCTCTGCGCCATCACTGCACTGCGACTGACCTCAACTCCATCACCGCGACACCGCCGACCTGGACCGCATCACTTTCGCCATGGCTACGTCGAGCTTTTCCTCCAAGCTCGCGGATGGTCGGTGACATCTCACCTCCTTCTCTCTCTCTCTCTCTAGATCATATTCTAGGAAGTTTTATCCCATATGTAAGGGTGTACCGCTAGATTTATGTCTAGGTGATCCACTATGTCTATCATTGGTATCGGATGAGCCTTACCTAGTGTGTAGATCAAGATCGGGGTAGAAAATAGAAGGAGAGGATTTGAGTCAACTCGGATTGAAACCCTAACCCTAACCCGAAGTGAGTTAAGAATAGAGGACCGGCGGGACCTACCTTTCTCACCTGCTAGCCGCCACCGCCCGCCCGATGATGGTGGTGCTTGAGGAAGCAAAAAGCCGATCCACCGACGGCATTGCTTTCGCCAACAACGACGGGCAGAGGTTGAGGCACCGCCCACGGCCGCCGACGGCGGCGCGCTCACCACTGGGCGAAGCGCCAAGACGCTGTAGAGGCCTCATGCTGGCGCGTCGCCTTCCTCCGGCTGCCATGCGCGGCCGCCGCTCCGTCGCTTTCGGGCGCCGCTAGCGCAAGAGAGAAGGTGAAAATGAGGAATGAAGCTAAGGTTTTGGGCTGTGGCGGTGGGGGGGGGGTTGTTATTCCGAAATATTCTCCCAGCCGTCCGATGAGATTGAACGGCTCAGATTGCACGCGCCGGATTTGGCCCAGGCGGGGAAGAAGTTTCTCGGCCCCAGCCCAAAGTTGCGGCTCTGGGACGCTGGTCTTGCAAGCATGAAGCAGAGCCGTTGGGCTGCGTGGGCGGGTCTTGCGGCTGCAGCATGGGAGCTTGAGGGCTGCGTGGGCGTTTTCTTGGGCAGTGTGGCTGTACATTGCTGTATTGGCGAGGGCCATCGGAAGCGCAAAGTACAGCGTCTTGGGCAGCTGGTCGCGACTTCCAGCTGGGCCAAAATGAAAAGTTTGAGTTAGTTTAGTTTTATTATTTTCTAGAAGCATTTTTGATAAATTTTATTAAGTTTAGATGTTTCAATCTTTGCTCAAATTTAAACCAACGGGAAAATTTATTCAGAGAGTAGATAAGTACTAATGAAATGCTTCTGATAATACCATTTTAAGATTATTTTTTCATATTTCCGCTGCAAAGTTGATGTTTATTATCTTCTAATTAAATTCGAACCAACGGGGGGATTTAATTTTGAAGAGTAGTTATAGTATTCAGTAAATTATGATATTATTATTTTTCTGACCAACGTTGATAATAGCAATATTATAATTTTTTATTCATGAGTTTTTTCATGCATTAGTTCTATTTAGCCTAACGGTGATGTAGAATTAATGTAGAAGCATATTGTATGTTTTAATTTTGACCAACGTTAAATTACGGCATGCAATTATTATGTCATGTTTTCTCACTTTCTCTAATGATATTTTCAGGACTCAACCCTATGGCATTCATCTCGCACATTCCGCCTCTTGAAGGGGCAACTATCGTGTATGGCGAGAGAAGTATGAGTTGGCACTTGCGCTGTCCGAGAATAACCTAGCACTTACCTCTCCGTGTACTACTGAGCCAGTGGACCCGGTGATTATGCTACATAGTCTACTGACCAATGAACAAACATGTATCCTGAATTATTACTTTTTATAGAATTTACCTTTCTAAATGACAATTAAATTTTCTATAGGAAAAAGAATATGCCAAGAATAATGACAATGAAAACGGGTCTTCATCCGGCAGCAGGAATAAATGCAAACAAGCCAGAAAAGTCTATGGACAATATGCAAAGAATCGGGTACTCCATAGACATAACTATTGAGTTACGTTCCAATAATATAGGTCTTAAACACTTAACAAGTTTACTATTTTAAGAAGAAGCAGTCAACAATATATTAACATGTGGTAAGATTTAATAACAATAGACCATTCTCAAGTAAAAAAGAAAAATACATAGAAGCTGTGAAGTAGATAAATATTTCAGCTACATAGGCAAAAAATAGTTGTACTATATCTAACCTTACCACTAAAAATGTTTTACTCATTCTAGATAAAATGTGCCAAGACTTCAGAAGTAGACATGCATCAAGAATGAAGTTTAGGCAAATAAAGTGGCGAAGAAAAATTAAAAGAAAAATTTCTAATCAAGAAGGAACAACAAAAAAGTTGTGAAGACAAAATTTCTAGCTACACATATAATCTAACTAACAAAA